CTGAGCAGGGAGCCCCATGTGGGACTCGATCCCAGGACCCCGGGATCACGACCTGAGCCAAAGGCAGACGCTTAACCGATGGAGTCACCCAGGCGCCCTGTTTGCCGATGTTTAATTCAAATTCTAACCAGGCACTGCCTGACTCTTTGAGGTCCTACATGGGCCTGTGCTGTTTGCTGCAGTTGGACAAATTTCTAGATAAACTAGAATCCAGAACAGAATCCAAACCTAGGTTCCAGAATAAGCTCTACACCTAGGCCGATAACACCGCTCTGATGATGTCAGAGATTAAAAGATTCACTGTAGCCTAATACGACCCACATGGGCTTTCTGCAACAGGCACAACTCCCTCTGCTTTGCTCTAAGGTGCTGTGGGGTCACACAGGGCCGTATAGACAGCATGTGCTAACAGGCCTGGATTTAAAGCCCAGGTCTCTGTGTAAACTGTGTGCCCTTGGACGTGTTGCTTAACTTCTCTGAGGCTTCTTCCTCCAGTGTGAAGTCAGAACAATATCTACCTCATAGGGTTGTTGTAAGGGTTAAATGTAATAATATGTGTGAATGGCTCTCACCAAGTAAGCATTCCCTAGTTCGTTAAAGAACTGAGGATCCATTTAAAACTCAGATGACCTCCCCCAAGAATGTCTTATGAGCTTGGGCCCACCCAGCTCTGGGACATCAGCATTGCTGGTTTCTCCAAGAGTGAGTCTCTCGTCCTGTTTGGAGCCAGACCCTGTGTGAGTGATCCCATCATCTACCCCCTCCTAGCCCCTCCAGGACCCCTTTCCATCATTAACTTTTTCTCCCCTGTGTCTGAAGTCTCTCTAGTCCATTGGCTCTTTGCTTCCAGGCTTGTTCAAGTCTTTCATACCAAAAACAAAAGGTCCATCAGTGAATCTTGTGTTCTCTACCACCTCCTGCTCTTTTGCCTTCTAACAAACTTAAAGAGCCTAGGTAAGAGGTCACACCCTGTGGGCTGGACCAGAACTTCCAGAATCTGCTCGAAGCTATAGGCTAAGTAGACCTCCCTTTTCCTTCCATGTTGGTGGTAAATGGGGAAGACTTTGGATCCCAGCTGAGGCCTGGAGCAGGGTGGGGAGGACCCAACAGTGATGAAGGGAAGGGGCCTACTTCTTCATTTTTCCCTGCTTTTAAGAGCCCAGGGAGATTTGAGATGAAAGACCAGCCTTCCTTTAGAATAATTCTACACACCGTTTTAATTGAGTTCAAATTTGACCCAGGAGAGGAGGACATCCTGGGCGCCCCCCTTCACCTTGAAGTTAGAGGACTGCATTTTAGATAGGTCCAAAGTCACATTCTCTGTCTCTCTTCCAGAAAACCCCTCATTGTCCAGTGGGGGTGCAGCAGGAACAAGCCTGGACCCCATGGGAATAATGGGGAATCTCATATTTAATAATATTATGACTCTCTAGACCCCAGAAATTGGGGGGCTAGGCAAAGTATGAGGAAATCAGAACAGGGGCACTACCTAAAGAGGGATGGGGCTCAGGAAAGCATGCTGATTCAGAGGGTTGACAGATGGTCTCGCTCTTGTTCCCCAGCGAGATTGGCTCAATGGATGCTATAATCATTTCTGTGGAGCCCCCTGGGTTGTTGCTTCCCCCATGGGAAGGGATCTCTGGTGAAATGAGAGACTGGAATCATCCACAAGTGGAGGGAAGCAAAAAGATGCAGAGGGTTAGAAGTGTCTAGTGAAAGTGGAGTGACATTGGGGAAAGGATCACCCCTGAATCCTCTACCGGTATCTGTCTTAGGGGTTCTCCAGTCTACTTTAGGGTTCTTGCTTTCAATCACTTGGCTCCCAGGCAAGAGGGAAGGCAGGAAGAAAAGGCACCCCCCTGAAATGACTGTGGTCTACACCAGCATCTCAGGATGGAGAAGCTCAGCAAGCCATGTGAAAGAATGATCACACTCTGTCTTCACCTCCTCCCCATTTCTTCACTCCTGCACACCCGGAGGACCATCGTGCCCAGGGTTACTAAAGACTCCCTTTGTGCAGAATCCAATGGGCACTTTCAAGTTCTTATTTCCTGGATCTCTCTTAAGAGTTGCCCCCTTTCCTTGAAATTGTTCCCTTGACTCCTGAAGCTCTTCCATTCTGCTTCTCCTTTTCTGGTTTCAGGACTTTTGTTCCTCTTCACAGATTCTTCCTCTGCCTCCCCACTAAAAGTTGCTGCCTAGAAATTTTTCCTTGGACCACTGTCCTCTGTCTTGCCTGGGCAAGCTCATCCAGTCTCAGACTTTAACGACCACATCTATGGGGAGAACTTACAAATCTTTAAGTCTAGCACTGACTTTTCCTCTTGAGAACCCAGAAACTATATAAAACTGAATCCTGAACATCTCTGCTTGGAAATCTCACACACACCTCAAAATTAGCATTTTCAAAACTAACATTATGTTCACTCTACGTAATCCCTCACCTCTTAGTTTCTAGAAAACAAACCCTGGGATGCCCTCCCCTCTGTTTCATATGTGAATTCATGGCACTGCTATCTACTTGGATACCCAAACCAGAACCTGGGTGTCCCTCCTAGCCTTCTATCTCCCTTATCGAAGCTTCCTTTTGACATTGTGTGTCCAAACATTAAATCCTGCTGGTATTTGCTTCTGAAATGTTTCTTTTGCACTACAGTAATTCATAACTATCTTTTCTTTTGGACTGTAGCCTCCTAACTGCCTCTGGCTTAGCTCCTTCTTGAAATCATATTGAACCCTAGAGCTGGAGTGGCAAAACCAAATTTGCCCTGTCATTCTCTTGCTTTAAAAACTCAAATGACTCCCTTTTACCCAGGAGATTCAAGACTCTCCTTGATGTAACCCTTATCTATTTCTCCAGCCATCCCACAACTTAAATTTGTTATTCCCACAACTCACCATGCTAATTCTCTTCTCTGTGCCCTGGATTATGCTGGGAATGCTCTGCACATCTCTGTTTATCTGCAAACCTTTACTCAGCCTTTTAAGATATACCTCAGATGTTATCATCTCTGAGTACCCTCCCCCGGACCCTCAGGGTGGGCTGTGGCTCCCTATCATCATACCCTGTTACCACGTGTCCTGGGAAATAATGGGAAAGACTAGCAGTCTCCGGGGATGTCCCCTTAGTGAAGGTACCAGTCCCAGCTCTGGTAGGAGTACTCAACCTGGCAGATCCTGAAACCTGATTTCATCAGCATGTTGAGAACAGAGCCACCTCTTAGTGGCTGACTCGAATTAACTAACTTTCTTAAAAAACGAATAAAGTCAAAATATCAACAGATTAATTACATAAGAACTAGAACTTTCCTAAGGACTGGTTTCCCCAGAGTGTGAGAGACCAGTGTGTTCTTTCCCTGCAAAGAGACCTACCCCTGGAGGTGAACAAGAATCAGAACGACGGCAGCTAGATAAATCAAGCAACTCACGGAATCAGGCTAAAAAAATGTGATACCCCTACCCCCATGTCGGGAATGGGCTTGCCATTGGAAATCTGTTCATTAATGTCCCCTCTCCACGGGCCGAAGCTGGGGTAGTCACTGCCCAAGCTAGCCTCTGTCATCCCCTTTTGCCTTCCCTGGCTGACCAACACCCCCTTCCCCTGCCTCCTGGTCTGGGTGCTCCCTCTCATTACTCTTTTATTGAAGTGACTGAAGAGGCCTGTTAGCGAAGGCCATCCTTTCAGCTTTTGCGTTGATCCTTTAAGTGTGGATTTCAGAGTTTAAGGACTCGACCTTATTTCCAGGTCCTTGAGGGAGGCCTCTCTGTAGCAGCCAAATAGAAACTAGGAACCTTTATCTGTCATTATGAGAGGCAGGGGCCCAGGGCCTGGCACGGGAGGCAGGCTGAGGGGATCGAGAGACTGGGACAGCCTCGGGCTGTCTGTATTCTGTGGGTCTAGCACACAAAGGATGTTTAATACATGGCTGATGAACTAAACTGAATTGCATAAACTGAATCAGATATGTTAGGATCATTTCATTTATTCTTAGGTCTCTGCGATTAGGCACTATCCCAGATCTCTCTTTCACTCTGTTTCTCTCCGTTTTTCATAGAGGTTCATTCTCACTTCCCCATCTCGCTAACTCTGATGTGCAGAGCTCTCAAAGGCCTGTGCCGCAGGCTGCCCTTTCCTCTCCAGGTTCAGTCCCTCGGAAGCATTCACACCATTTCACGCATTCACACCATTTCACACACCACCGCTGTGCTATCCCCTCGGGCTGCAGCCCCCCCCCCCGCCCCCCGCCGAAGGCTCCAGCATCCATACTCGACAGGACCACCCTACACTCTCTACCCTCTTCATTCCTTCTCGCCCAGCCCACCGCCAACTGTCTGACCTCGTTCCGTCTGTGAAGGATCTCACCAGTCTCTCTCACTTTGGCTCCCACTCCTACTCTTACTGATGCCCCTGAGTCTCTCTTGCATCTGTTGCATCTTGCATCCAGTCAACACCTCACTCATGTTTAACATCTCAATTCCTGGGCAGTTGGGATTGGCTCCCAACTCTTCTCTACCTCAGTCTCTCCCTCTGATCCAACCACAGCTCGGGTTAATTTTCCTAGGACAGCACTACAGTCCTGACAGAGAGGGCAACACTGCAGAACGAACTGCCGAGAACATCACGTCACCCTGTTTCACTGGTCCAGGCACCACTCCCAACAACAGGGAGTTTTCACAGGCCCCTCCCCACGGGGTCCACCAGCCCACCTTATCCTTACCCTTGAGCTCAGCTCCCCTCTCTCCCTGTTTGCCTTGATTTTTCTCCCCTTCCCTCTCAGGCTGCCCTCTGGAACTCAAAGTTTATTCTTGTCAGTCATGTCAAGCCATTTGACTCCTAACTCATTCTTGCCATGCCCTCAGGACTACCTTTTGACAATCAAAATGGCCTGAGAAAGTGCTGTGCTAAGTCCAGGTCTTTAGCCAGAGGCAGTTTTTTCTCCTAAAAGAAGTTCTGTTGACTGCTTTTAATCTTAACTATGTATTTTTTCTTCCCACTGCAGGGCGATGAAGGATCAAAGAGGTTCAGACCACAGTGGGTTATCAAGGAGACCTGGCCTGGGCCAGGCCTATAGGCAGGAGATTAGGGCCTCCAGAGGCTCCCTGAGTACACGGGAATCCTGAGAGAGGGAAAGCACCAGCTTTGAAGCAGGTGGCAAGAAGAAAGTATATAGAACTGGAATCTGGCTGGCTACCCTCCCAGAGAAAAAGCTGAACCCTGCCTTTTGGGTGCCACTAGAGAGAGAAGGCAAGAATTGGAAGACCCAGAGGCCAAGAGACACTCTGATCACACAGAAACCTCCTAGCTAAGAAGGTAAACCCAGACATTTCTTGGGAAGGTGTTCCTAGATTTGCTTGGGATGACATAATTGTTTTCTTAGTGAATATGCATCTCTCAATCCTGGGAAGATTTAGAATTAAATAGAGAGATAATGAAGGAAATCAAACCTCATGGTGTTATATTTTTGTTTAAGAATCTACATATTTGGTATTTTAAATGTCTCTAATGTGTGATGTTTTAAATACTCCTCATATTTAATAATATTTAATAGAAACATTCTTGATGTTTAATAAAGTATCTGAAAATTAACCTTGCAATGCAGATTTAAAGTATGTAACTGACTAATTATTAAGACTTTTGATTTTAAGTTAAAAATCCTTTTAAAGTTTATACACTATATTGGAACTTTTAAGAAAACTTACCGCTTACCGGATGTGTTTATTAGTTTTATGAGAATTACTTAAGAATTTGGGAGGCTTTGTTAATCAGAAAATTGATGTGTTTGGGAAAAAATATTCAAATTATTAAATTAATAAACGCAGTTTAAAATGATTAACCAAGTGAAGCAGACATCAATTTACTAGCTTTATAAATTGAATAATAAATGGATATATTTAATGTAAAAGCTTAAGCACAAATTTTGAATTTGAAAGTAATGAATATTAAGTTTTAAAAACCAAAGTAACTTCTAAATAATCATTCCAGGGTAAAAAGTCTTAATGCATTTTTAAAGTCCTTTCCTTTTCCTTTTCTTTTCTTACGACACCCATAGAGAAAGTTCACAAAGAAATATTCCAGTCTATAAATGTGAACTCTTCTTAATAGTTAATTGCCAAGAAAAGAACCCTGGAGGCTGTAGGCGTAGGCAGCCAGGGTACAGTTTGGGAAACGGTCAGGGGTTAGCAAAAATGACACAACATATATCCTGACTTCTCGTCTTCTTTCCAGGCTTGTTTCTCCAACTGTTTATAGGCCTTCAGCTACACTTCCTTGCACCGCCTTCAACTTTGCATTTCCAAACTTAGCTCATCCCTTCTTTATCCTCTCTTGCCTATTCTTGGCCTCAGCCAAAAGGCTTCCCTTCAGAAATAACGTGTCAATTGCACCACCATCAGCTCAGCTCAGCAGGCCAGAAACCTCCTAGTGGCTTCTCATTTTTTCCTTTTCTTTCCCTGCTTCTCTGAGCTACCATTCAGTCCCAATGAGCCTTTCTCTGCAAGGTCCACTTTTCCTTCCCATTTCCTTAGCCACCTCTACAGTCTCTGACTCTTGTCGCCTCACGCCAGGATTACTGTGCTGGCCTTCACTCAGTTTCCCCTGCTGCAATTCATGCTACACATAGCTTCCAGAAGAGTCATCAAGCTTTGTTTTCATCTGAGCTTTTGCCAGCTTCTCAATATCTGTCAAATAAAATCCAAGTTCTCCTTGACATCTAACGTCTTCTAACAACTTGGAGTACTCCTCATCTTAGCATCCTCAGCTTTCATGGTTTCTGGATGGGACCACTTATTATTGTCCAGCTAATTTGCTTGCCACGTTGCCCACACAACATTGTGTCTATGTGCATATCTTTGCATACATAGCTCATTGCCTCTGTATGGAAGGCTTGGATCCCTCTTGTTTTCTGACCCCATAAATCTGATTTCTTCCTCTCCCTCCAAATCCTGTCAGCACTCACCTATATACAATACACAATCTCCTTGGCATCTGTCATGGCATCATAATTAATTTCCATGTCTTTATATTACTCTATACCAATGTCTTCAGTTTTGCATATATATCATTTTCTTTTTTTTTTTTTTTAAGATTTTATTTATTTATTTGACACAGAGAGAGACACACAGTGAGAGAAGGAACACAAGCAGGGGAATGGGAGAGGGAGAAGCAGGCTTCCGCCGAGCAGGGAGCCCAATGCAGGGCTCGATCCCAGGACCCTGGGATCATGACCTGAGCCGAAGGCAGAGACTTAACGACTGAGCCACCCAGGCGCCCCACATGTATATCATTTTCTTAAAGACACTACGTAAGTTCTTCAGGGAAGGAATTTTACCAGCCTTGTCAACCACGGAGGATTAAATGAGATAGGTTATGTGGAAGTACTTTGTAAACTACCAAGTTTTATCAAATATACTGTTAGGGTAGCTGTGGTATGGCTGAAAAAGCCAAAGATTTGAACTTGGAAGTTTGACCTGGAAGAGTTGAGTTCACTTACTAGCTCTATCTTTTGCCAGTCATGTTGTTTTAAGCAAAATGTAATCTTTTCTGAGTTCCAGTAAACTCACCAGTAAAAATCGCCATAGGATGCCTTGTGGGGTAGAGGTAGTTGTACAGATCAAATAAATTGGCATCAATAAAAACCTTTTTGCAAACTTTAAAGCACCACATGAATGTATATTTTTCAGTAATGACAAGGTAACACTAATAAATGTTGACATAATGACCAATACATGTTGATGTAGTGACTCGAAAAGATTATAAGATGAGGAGCACGAACCACTTCGGCATAAAGCAGCAACACTTCATAGATGACATATCATAGCAGATGCAAGTAGCTTTAGTGGTTCAAACATAGTAAACCTCTCTGACTTACAAAAGAAGTAAACAGGGCTACAGATAAGTGTTAATGGAATCAAAAGCATATAAAAACAGTATTTCTGGGCGCCTGGGTGGCTCAGTTGGTTAAGCGACTGCCTTCGGCTCAGGTCGTGATCCTGGAGTCCCGGGATCGAGTCCCGCATCGGGCTCCCTGCTCGGCGGGGAGTCTGCTTCTCCCTCTGCCCCTCCCCCCTCTCATTCTCTCTCTCTCTCTCTCGTTCTCTCTGTCTCAAATAAATAAATAAATAATCTTTAAAAAAAAAACAGTATTTCTTTTAGAGTAATTTACTATGTTTATTCAATTATAAAGGACTATTTGAAAGACAAGGTACTTGTCCAAATGCTCTTAAGTTCTGGACACTATGTTTGAAGTGTATTCAATATTTGCTCACTCAACATATTTTGTTTTAGCAAGAATGAATTGTTTACCAACTGTATGCCACACACTGTTTTAGGTGCCGGAGGTATATCTGTGAAGACAGTTCAAGTTTCTGTTCTCAGGGATCTTACATTCCAATGGTAGAGAGATAAAGTGCAAATAAATAAAATAATTATAGATTATAGTAAGTGCTATAGAGAGTAAGAAAGTAATGTGGGGGTGGGTGGGAGGGAGTGCCATAGACGGCTCATTGAGAAGAGACATCAAGAAGACAGTGACATTTAAGCTAAGGTTGGAGAATGAAGTAGAGAGCCACACAAAGAGCCCAGAAAAGAGCATGTTAGACTGAGAGAAGAATGAGTGCAAAGGCCCCGAGGCAGGAAAGGGCTGGCCCTGTTAAGAGGCCTGTGTGGTTGGAGCCTAGTGATTAAGAAGTCTGGAGTCAGATCACACAATGCCTGGCGGGCCTTGGTGTGCAGTTTGGATTTTATTCTATGTGCAATGGAAAGTCACTAAAGAAGCTTACATATGATTAAAATTCTAATCATACTATTTAAAAAAAAATTATAGTCCATGTTTTTCATTATATAACATCTTGGGCTGCTTCACAAAATTTAGCATGATTTGGCTCAAAATATAAGTTTAAAAGAAAAAGGACTAGGCATTTTAAAATTTGGGACTCCTCTATATGGGTGGGGTGCACTGAGTAGGGGCTGCCATAGGTTCTACCTGCTGTTATCCTCATCTGTCTTGTGAAATTAGGATTCTTCACATTCCAAATGCAAGCTGTCTGATCAGTTGTCAAGATAGCAGACAGGCCACCTTCTGGGATCCTTTAAAATAGATTGTTAAGACTATGTCATAAGGATAAAGGAAACTGTTGATGTACTGATACAGAGTGACCCCTAAAATATGTTACGAGGAAAAATCCTTGTATACAACAAAAGTGTGCTATCATTATTTGTGTAAACATAAGGTTTCTCTTGGATACACAAGAAACTGACATTAGTCTTACCTATGGTGAAGAGACCCCAGTAGCTGGGGGATAGAATGGGAGAAAATTCTTACTGTATACCTTCTTATATTTTTAAATGTTTTAACCAACATTTATGAATGTATTATTACTTATTCGAAACAATTAAAATCCTACATTTTCCCCCATATACTTATCTTAAAGAAAATGGGCAATGTTCCAGAATTGTTGAGAAAGAATTTGCCTCGTTGGGTAAACCTAAAGTTATTCTATATAATTACAAGGAGATATAAAATCTAGACCTATGCTGTCCAGTACGGTCATCACAAACCACATGTCTATTTAACTTTAAACTTAAATTAACTTAAACAAAATCAAATTTCAAATTCAGTACCTTGGTCACACTAGCCACATTTCAAGTGCTCAGGAGCCATTAGCTACACGGGATTAATGGCTATATCATATGGATAGCACAGATGTTGAACATTTCCACATCATGGAAAGTTCTATCAGACGGACTGCTGTAGACTGATGAAGGTTGCCACTAGGGCAATGAACTAGCTCTTCAAACTTAGCTGATCGAGACAGAGAAACTCTGGAGTACAATAATACAAATATATTCCAATGCTAATTTTCCCAAGATGACTCACTAGAACAGCACTTGGAGGTGTAATCAAAACCCCTGCATTAGGTTTCTAAGGCAGACTGGTATATGATTTTGTCATCACTAGGATAGCACTGGCAGTTATTGTGTAAGAGTTAAGAATTATTTTTCTAAATGTAAACTGAGATTAAATAAAACTAACATAGTTGATATTTACTGAATTGGATATTCCACATTGATTCAGTCCATGAGTCCATAGAACTAGCACAAAGGAGTGAGTAATGAGATTCAATTATATTCAACTACTTTAGTACAATTTGTCAACTTTTGTCATCTTTGCTCATTATTAAGTCAGCTTTTCACAAATTAACACATTTTAACTAACCATAGTCATCATTTTCCTTTTGATACTCAAATTGACAGAATTTAGCCAATGAGTGTCCCTGCATTCTTCTATGCAACACCATTGTTTTTTTTAAAGCATTCTTGCTTTCTGGCCCAATAAAATATTCCAAGACTTACCTGTATCTTCCCAGACCCAGACATGAATCAGCCATTTTTCTAAGGTATATTGTGTTTCCTTCAAGTGAAAAATAGTGTTAGACCCAAGAATGTAGGCATTAGGAGTGCATATCATCAGGCTCATGTGGTGGAGTAACATTATTCCTTGGCCATTTCATTGAACACAGTTACAAAAGACATATTTATTATATGTTATTAGTTTATATTAATATTTCCAACTTTGTTCTCATATTACAGTATGCCTATTTAAATTTTTAAAAATCCTTCATCCAAATTATATTTCCCTTTTTTACAATTCAATGAAACATTCAATTATCACTCTGAATAGAGATGTTGGTCTTGACAAAGTTAGCATAATCACTCATTTCTCTTATCTGATGATAAAAGGATCGAGTAGTAATATAAATATTAATATTAACAGTGAAACTACTCCATAACATTCAATGTTTCTTGCTTTTCTCTTAGAATGCATCTCACGGAAGT